TCTCCAAATTTCTAAATATGAAGCAACCATCCCCTCATATAGTATCACTCATATGGGGCTAGTTAGACAAGTTCCCATAGAGTGGACACTAGAAGAATTAATAGCAGCTATAGAAATTCCCTCTGGTTACAGTTCTATAATTAAAGCACTGTGACTTAATAGTCGAACAGTGAGTGACAGCAATAGCATTTCATGGGTTCCAACTCAGACAGTCGTTCTAACTTTTTCTGGACAAAAACTTCCTCCCCATATTTACTGTTTTTACACCTCTATGCCAGTGGAAAAATATGTTTTGCCACTAATTCAGTGTCATAAATGTTGTAGATTTGGCCATGTTACTTCCCAGTCATCCATCACCGATCATCCCCTCGCTGCTTTGTATGTGCACAGAATCATGAAGGTTTATCTTGTACTCGACAAACTCCTACTTGTCTATTCTGCTCAGGTCCCCACACCAAAAGACCCTACTTGTCCTGAACATCTAAGGCAGAAATCTATTAAACTTGTTATGTCACAAGAAAATATTTCATATTTAGAAGCTTCAGCTAGATTCCCTCAGACAAAAAGATCCTTTGCTGATACAACAAGAATCCAGCCTCGTAATTCTCAACAGACCCCTTATGACAGTCTTTCAACCCCTTCGGCTCAGCTCACAAACTGCATCATATAAAAAACAATTTTTATCCCTCAAAGTACCTACAGCCAATCATTAAATTTTGGATATGATATGGCAGCCCATCAGGCAATTGTTGAGAATCCTAATTCTTCCCTTCCTAATGGGTGTGCTCTACTGGGGAATGACAACAACTCCTCTAGTAATGATAATTTCTGCGAACTTATGATATCAATGCTAATTAACATGATCTCCCGTTTTAATGACACAGAACTTCCTCTCAGCTTACGCCAAAAACTTACTCAGCTTTTCTCCTTAGCCCGTAACATTCGCAGTCCCACCAATTCTTCAATGGAATTGTCGGAGCATTAGAAATAAAAAAATGAACTCATTTACCTCATTAATAAACTTAATCCCATCATTCTTGCCATCCAGGAGACATGGCTTAGGCCTAAGTCTCATTTTAGGGTTTCAGGCTACGCATGCCTCCGGGATGATAGGAGTGATGGTTGTGCTGGCACCTCTATTTTAATTTCAAGAACAGTTACATTTTCACAAATTCCTCTCCCTTCTCATAGTCCAGCAGTAAATGCTGTTGCTATTAAGGCCCTTGATGTCTCTATTCTCTCTGTTTACATTCCTAATCCTGATGTAAATGTTTTAACAGAACTTGCAACACTTATTTCTTCTCTGTCACCTCCTATGGTCATTTTTGGAGATTTTAATATGCATCATACTGTTTGGGGTCCCATCTGTGTGATTCACTGGCTCCCTTATTTTTAGATCTTATTGATAATTTTAATCTCTGTATTCTAAATGACGGGTCTCCTACCCGTCGAGTATCCCCATTACAAAATGTTAGAAGTGCCGTTGACCTAACTCTCTGTTCCCCAGATATTGCTTCCCTTCTTTTGTGGCAAATATTACCTTCTAGCTATGGCAGTGACCATTTTCCTATATTCATCACTCCTCCTACTTCCCCTAGAGTAAATTTTACATTTTTCCCAAGACTAAAGTATAATCTATCCAAAGCTAATTGGCAATTATATTCTAAAGTTTTGGAACAAGAGGTTTCAACTCTTCCCCCAATTAACAATGATAATATTGCTCCTGTATATATAGAGTTCAGAAATGCAATTATTTCTGCTGCTAATAAGTCAATCCCTTTAAAAAAACCATTCAAAAATAATTATCCTTCCTCTCCTTGGTGGGATCAAGATTGTTCAGCAGCTTGTAGGAGGAGAAAAGAGGCTGAATTAATATACTCCCGTTCTATGACTGCTGAGAATTATATCTCCTATAAAAAATTGCTGCAGAAACCTTAAAATTACTGTCAGACAAAAAGCGAACCGGTGGGTTTAAATTCTGTGAGTCACTGTCACCTAGGATCTTTGGTCTGGAGAAATGTTAAAAAATATCGCTGTGCAGTTTCTAGTGAAAATAGAATTTCTAATGATCCTTCCCCGTGGATAGATGAATTCTCTAATAAACTTGCACCACAAACAGTCCCATCTTATGATGAATGCCTAGTTTTTAATTCTGCTTTTTTGAAAACAAATAATAAATTTGATTCCCCCTTTTCTTCTCAGGAATTGTTTACTGTACTCAATGGCCTTAAATACTCCTCACCTGGTATTGATGGGATTCCTTATTTGTTTATAATTAATAGTAGTGAGAACACTAAAACTGTCTTACTATCCATTTTAAATTTTATTTATATTACTGGTGATCCTCCTGCTGAATGGAAAACCCAAATTATTTTGCCCATACTCAAACCAGGTAAGTCTAGCAATGACCCTTCCAGTTACCAACCTATTGCCCTTTCTTGTACTTTGGCAAAAATCTTGGAACATTTAATAAAAAATCGCTTGGAATGGTTTTTGGAAAGGAATAATCTCTTACCTAAAACCCAATTCGGTTTCCGAAAAGGTTTAAGTACCATGGATAGCCTTAGTACTTTTGTCACAGATATTCATATTGTTTTTCAAGACATGAATTTCTCATAGGAGTTTTCTTGGATATTTCTTCTGCATATGATAATGTGCTTCTTCCTGTGCTCAAGCAGAAAATGCTTAATCTGAGCATTCCAGTGAGGATAGTCAATTACGTCTCTAACTTTCTCTCTTCTAGATCAATATCTATAAATGTTAAAAATTTCCTGCTTCCCCCCAAAAACTATATGGAAAGGACGTCCACAAGGCTCAGTTCTTAGTCCTCTCCTTTATTTATATATACTCATGATTTAGAACTTTCAGTAAATTCTTTTTGTAATGTTCTTCAATATGCAGATGATTTAGCTCTCACATCTCCTTAAACAACTTCACAGTGGCAAGTTCCCATCTAAACTCATCCATGGATTATTTACAAGAATGGTTAACTAATAATGGCCTCTCTTTATCTGTGGCCAAGAGTAGTGTGGTGATCTTTTCCCGCCAAAGGCGAGTTCCTGCTATATCTGTTGTATATGATAAGCAACCTATTCCAGTTAGAGGCAATGTTAAATTTTTGGGAGTAACCTTGATTCGAAATTGGCCTTCGGTCATTACATTGAATATATAACACAAAAATGCGAAAAAAACATAAATACTCTTCGGTCTTTGTCTGGTGTTTGGTGGGGGTCCCATCCTTTTTCTCAGAAATTACTGTACAATGCTTTAATACGAAGCCATCTTGACTATGGATGTTTTCTCTTGGAGCCTTGCAATAAATCATCCCTGAAAGTAATGGACAAAATTCAATCGAAATGCCTTCGCATTATTACAGGGGCAATGGAATCCTCACCAATAAATGTTCTTCAGGTTGAGTGCGTAGATCCTCCTTTAAGATTAAGAAGGCAACACCTTTCAGATAGATTCTTATTTAAGATCTCCCAGCTTTCAGATCATCCCCTAATTCCTAAATTGCATCTTCTTTCAGAGTATATCTTATCTGATCGATACTGGACCCATAAGGATTCTCCCTGCTTGTTTAAAAGTTTTGTAATTTTTCTTCAGCTTCCTTACCCAATCTTTCAATGTAAAATAAATCCACTCTTTGATGTCCTTTACGAGGCTATTGTTTACCAACCTGACATTCATCTAGATCTAGGTATAGAAAAAGATTCTCCAATGGCAAATTTGAAATTAAAAGAAATTATAGAAAACACCTTTAAAGATTGGCTTGTCATTTACACAGATGCTTCCAAACAGTCTGATGAAGACTATACTGGAGCTGCTGTTTGGATTCCTAAGTTCAAAATCATTCTTAACTTTAAATGCCCCTCACTATCCTCCACTTTTACCGGTGAAGCAACTGCAATCAGTGAAGCTTTGTTATATGTTGAGTCACATAATCTTAATAAAACAGTTATTTTCAAACAGATTCAAAAAGTTGTTTGTTAGCTATTTTGTCCAATCAATTCCATAACAAACATAAATTTCCACTAATTCTTAAAATAAAAAATACCCTATTCAGATGCCATCTTAAAGGAATCCATGTTTCAGTGGCCTGGATCCCAGGCCACAGTGGTATCCATGGTAACTAAACAGCTGATGTACTCGCTAAAAATGCAATTGCTAATGGCATTCTACAAAATTTAATTTACTCACATGACCTAATTTTGCTAGCTAAAAGCAAACTGAATGAAAATTGGAATAAATTATGGGAAGTTTCCAAAAATGTTAAAGGTAAGCACTATGCTGCCATCCAAGAGGTTATTCCTCCCAAGCCTTGATTCTTTAAATTTAACAAAGCAAATAAACATGCGACTTCAATCATTTGTAGATTAAGAATTGGACACGCTTGTACACATGCACATCTGGCAAAAATCAGAGTAAGGGATAGCTCATTGTGTGAATGTGGCTGATGTGGAAGATGAAGATTCTACAAACCATATTTTTTTCAACTGTCCCAAATTATCCTCCTCCCTTTATGATTACCTTCCTCCTTATATTCCTCGACCTATAGATTTTAATTCTCTTTTAACATATACCAGTACTCCTTTTGTGTATATTTTATGTGATTTTATTAATACTAATAATATGAAACTTTAAATCCTGGTCACGTTTAACATACTGGTAAGAGTCTAACACCTGTGTTTGTCATATTTGTTCTAGGTAATTCAACAAATAGATTTTTCAAAATTCTCGGAGGAAAACTGAATCCTTGTATTATCACAGACTCTTATTTTAATTAAACTCATAAGCTTTCATTTTCCACTCAATACGTCATTGGCGAATTTTATCAAACCGCCACAAAACAAAGAAGAAGAAGAAGAACAGAGTATAAATAAGTCTGGTCTCTTATAAAATTGATAATTTCTTCAGTAAACAGATACGAAAATACCTCAAACGGATACTCCATTTGAGGTATTTTCGTAAGCAAAAGTAATTCTGGCTAAGTAAAGTATTTATGGGAGTAACTTCTCAGATCCAAGAAAACGTAGTTGGTCTTCATTTATGTTCAGGGTTTTCGTTTTCCACGTGATATTAGTCCTAGGCACACGATTAGATATCCTTGGAGCTGCTGCAGAACTAGCACTAGTAGAAGCGGAGGCCAGACTTGGATCCATTGCAGTACTAATGATCCGAGTATTGGTGGATGTTGTTACTAGGGTGCTGGTAGATTGAACTTCATTTTCCAAGTCAGGTGCTACCTCTGGGTCCTCATCAGAACTTGCATGCTCATTCGGCTCGAAATTATACGTCGGATCGGCGACATCGTCGTCGTCAGAAAAGTCAAGGCCATCTTCGCTATCTTCACATTCTCCCACTATATTTTCCAGGTCCTGAGTAGTCAAAGTATGCAATTTACGACTCATTTTGAACCTGTAAAGAAACACCCAAATTTAAAGAAAACGGTAATAAACATATACCACAACGCGCAATGTTACATATTTGCAACAAAACAAAATCTGTCTAAGAAATAATAAAAAAATGTTTTTTCTAGTAAAATATTATTGATTATTGAAATACATCCTCTTACCTTTTACTCATACCAATTTCAACAGCCAAGTATCACTATTTCACCAAAAAAACATTTTTTCGTAAACGAATTCAAAGAGAGCGAAACAGGTTTGTACTCGTTCGTCACTTCAATGAAAGACAAATACAAGTGTCGCCGTCTAGTAAGCTTGTTTGATACTAATTTGTTAGAATGCTTTGTTGCCGATGTACAACACCGAGTAAAGTCGGTCTATCGCTATTTGCTATATTTTTACGTCTATTTGAATGGTGTGTTGCAGAAGTACAACATGTCTCCATAAAGGGTTAAGAAGTAGTGTTACCTTGATATAACAAGCTCAATATAACAAATTCCTCAATTTAACAAATTATTCAAAATCCTCTAGAATTGCCTGTTAAGAGCTAATGCAAATTTATCAAAATCTTCTATATAACTTTTTAATAATTGCAGAATATAGATAGAAGGTATTATTTACTCTATTTTAGTGCTGGATTAACCATGTAGCAAGAGTAGCAATTGCTATGGGCCCCGACCAAAAGGGGGCGCTGTGTATCCAAGCAACCCATCATCACCTGAGCATATACATATTTTTCAGTAAAGTTTAAGACAGTATATTCAATTTACTTGATACCATATAAACGTGAAACGTTGCAAATGATGATCGGTAACCGATTATTTAGTTGGCGAAAATGAAACAGAATTTCGTATCATTATTCGTGAACAACACACCAAATGGCTCGGTTCTCATACTACTGATCATGTGGGAAAATCTGTTTACGGCTTTGCCTTGGCATATGGTCTGACACAACTGGTCAATTAGCCGACGCAGATTCCAGTTGTGGAGGATTGTACACTATCCCTGTTGGACCTTCTGCTGGCTTCTTAATCGGACAGCTATCAGATGCCCATCTCGTCGATGTCTTGGCTCTTCGGATCATTTACTGATCCGGAGCACAGTGTCCATCACTTGCTCATTGGCGCACAATCTGTAGGCTGCCGCTGTGTGTGATACTATGGGTCGGCGGATTGGGATGGTATTTGGGCTTTTTTTGCATCCTCCCCATGGGGGACGAATTATCTTCTCGCTAGATAATCCCAAAATATTTGATGCTGAGTCTGTCGCCGATGTGCTGCTTCAAGGTATGGAACTTTTGATCCCGCCATCCATAGTGTCTACCGGCGGCAGGTCCCAGTATTGGTTTGGACACTCCCACAAAATTACGTCGCGACAAAAGCAGGAGTCCCAAGGCTTTGGCTGACGCATTTACGTGGAAATTGCAAAAGCCTAAGGTCTGACAGGCTGTCATAAATATCAGCAACAAACTTCTATGATTTTAGTGGTTCTAGTATACTGAACGGATTTGTTGAAACAGAAACACCTGGTAAACAGTGTGAAATTGAAGTGTTTGTTGTCATTGTTTATAACTTGCTATCCGCTTTAGATAAACGCATGAAAACATACCAAAATATAACTGGTGTTTTTGGAATATTTTAACAAGGTGTGATAGATACTCAATCTATGGCTGAATTAGCAGTAGCTTTCGACGTTAGGTCCATTTTTGTTGGTCCATTTGTGTCAAATTGGCAAGGTAAAAATGCTTGATGATTGGGTGCCCCGCGAACTCAATGATCGCCTGTGAGAAGTATGCATCGATACGTGCCTTGCACTGCACAACAGGCACAAAGAAATTTTTGAACTGCATTATCATGTAAATATATTACAGCCAAAGAGATTTTGAAAGAAACTCCAATTATGGTCAGTGCTTATGTAAATGGTTTGGAATACCGCATAGATGGCGAATTAATGCAGTTTGCCGATTTGCTCAAAATGAATGTGGGTGGTGGGATTGTCAATCACACCAGCCCACATCCGTTGAATTTGTAGAAATTTAGTATAAATTCGTAATGGATAATTCACTAGAATTATGTTTCGCCAATTAAGAAACTGTTTAGTGCATTTATTGTCTCTCATGATCAATAACTGCAGTGGTGAATGTTCATTATCGAAATTGAACTAAAATCTAAATCTTTCTAAATTACCATGACAATCTCACGTCTGGCTTTTTGTACTTGCCAGAGTCTCATAGGGCCTATAGTAAACTACTATACTATTAAACACCAACAAAATTGTAACCTATAGGTCGCAAATAAACTTCAATGAATATTGAACTGTTTTTTACTTTATGCTTAAAAACTATAACAGATCAAAGGCCCCTTGATATATTTTGCGACGGACACCGCGCTTGCTTAATCCGCCACTCCTCTATTTAACAAATTTTTTCAACTTAGACTTGACAAAAGACAACCTTGACAAAATATATCCTATTAATTATTCCCATTTAATTCCACAATAAATCATGTCTTGACTAACTTGTTAAAACGAATTGTAGTTCCAGCTAACCTTTATAATATATCAAACCTCATTATAATTAATTACTTGGTATAATGGATACTTTCTAATTCCCTTCAGTTTTTTATGTCAAGGTTGTAATGATATGGTCTATTGGTTGTTAGCGTGACTGCTGATTATGTGGTCATTGATTCAAATTCCTGATCTGTCAAAATCTGCTATTCAGATTTTCTATCAAGAAATATTTAGTAACAGCCCAAAGTCAGAATCTTTGTGGTGTTTCATCTCACTTTTATAGATTAAAAATTGTGTAAAGTCACTGATCCTGCACCTGATCGCTCTCCAGTCTTGTTGGATTTCCACCCCATCAGACTATGAGTAAGGGAATAGAGAGTGCACCTGTGCACATGTACATATTCATTTAACTCTATCCTGCACTGATGACTAGTCTTTTTTTATAGTATTGGGTGACAAACGAGCACACAGTCGACCTGATGGTAAGTGGATGCTGTGGCCCATAGCCATTTATTTATCCTCAATTAAGAATCAAAATACAAATGCATTATCACCCCTGAGGACTAAGATTGAATGCCTCGTTTCCAGTGAAAAAGCGTCTCCGGTTTTCTACACTTACCATATGAAACCTAGCAGCATTACGCTGCTATTTTACGCTGGTATTCTGTAAGAGAGTGGTCCTACCCCGGTCAAGCCGACCCATTCATGCTACAACTATAATATAGCTGCAGCTTGGCTCTACTATGTAAAAAAAAAGTCATTTGAAACTGGCCTCCCTGATCGAAATTTGTTCTGAACTACATTTATTATTCTATAAGTTTGAGTGGTGTTCAGGGTAGTCGTATTGGGTGTAAATGTATCGGAGGCCATCAGTTTACAATAGACACAGCTGTGCAGGCACATTTCTGCTTCATAACCCCCCAATTATGAGACAATGTTTTTATTTTATCAATAGGGGTATGAAGTCTATTATTTCTGTTATTCCTATTTTATGTATAATTTCAATGTGTTACTTTCAATGTGTAGTAGTTTTAATTTTATTTCAATTAAAATAAAATTAAAACTAATTTTGATTTGTTTTCAGAATTGTTGTTGTTTCTTCAACACTCCATGAAAGGGCAAAACTCGACTTTGAAGATTTGAACTTAAGAGCTGAAATCGAAAAAGCAAAACAGGGCAGAGTTAGTCAACGTCGCAATCTTGGTTACTGCAACTCCAAACTGATGAATGTATACTTTGTAAGGGCGTTAGCTGACAGATTGAGAGATAGTGGAATAGATGTACATGCATGCTGTCCAGGCTTTTGTTACACCAACCTATTTAGGTATTTATTTATATTTTTCGTAATAATATTGTAGTGCAATAAAATATAATAAAGTTTTATAATAATTTATGAATTAACATACCCTTTTAAGAATATATTAGATTGAAATTTTATATATTATACAGGATTTTTTCCCTATAATATTACAAAAATTTGCAGATGATCCCAAAAAAGCTTTACTTAGTATAAAAAATAATATTTAAAAAATATGATACTTTAATATCATTTAAAATTATCATTGAGCAGTACCATAGTAACTTGGCTAACTCCATTACTTTAAAAAATTGGTTGTTTTTTTTAATTGCACAATCACGGACAAGAGGCCATAATAATAACTGAAATGCAGGAGGAGGTACTCCTCGGTGCAGCCCGCAACATCCAGCTGTTTTTTTCCCTTTCCCCTAACCCATTTGGTTACCCTTGCCCAGGGCTTCCATCTGGTTGAATTTTTAATGATGTATCTATTTATGTTAGTATACTTTATCTGTATCGATGATTTTTTTATATTTATTCAGCCCAACCAGATGAGAATATGAATAACAATAATAATATAATATATTGTTTTTTTATAGAAAATATTTTAACAATGAAACAACAATTTGCAAAAATGGATTTTTTGTTTTCAGGAAATCTGTAAGATGGTATCATTATATATTAATGGCTCCAGTAGCATTGTTGTTTATGAGGTCTGCTAAACAAGTAAGTGAATACAATATAATAATTGCTTCGTTTCGTAGAGGGGGTAAAAACCTAGTTTTTGTCAATAAATATAAAGACACTTATATTTGTCAATATACAGACTACAATAAGTGTGATGCAAGTAATGTATATACTTTTGGCGCAGTCAGCATTCTTAATTAAATTCAACCTGTAGTTGATTTCCCTTATGCTTTGTTGAGAGTAATAGCTTAGGTTACAACAGTAACTTAGTAAAGTAATATAGTGTTAAGAAATTTCAGGGATCCGATAGTTAGGTAGACATAAACCTTTCATCTTTTATTCATGTCACATTTTTAGTAAATGTGCCAGAGACATCTGGTACTGCAAGTATCAATTACCCTGTGCAGTAAATCCTATTATTAATAGGGCAGATGAGAAGAAAGCGACATATGTGACTCCACTCTTTCTTGCTCCTGTAAAGAAGAGGCACCTGTTACATAACTGCAAT